CAAATGCTTTTGCATAATCAATAAAATATAAGAAAACACGTTTCTGGTATTTGTGGGGGTTTTTTTTTCACTAATTTTAATGAACATTTACAGAGACTTTGGAGTTCCATTCATTCATTGTTGCACTTTTCTGCCTGCTCACATCCCTGCCCTCCCCCCCTGCAGTTCACTCTTCTCTCTGAAAAGTACAAGAAAATTCCTTCATTGGTATACAATCCCCCCACACCGGGTATACTCCACTATGGAACCTTCATTCTGGACTCTTATGATAATCATAATACCCTATAATATATCCCTTTTAAACTGTTATCTCTCTCATCTGTTTCTATTTGTGGGTTTTTGTGAAATGGAAACAAATTCCGCTATCTTCCACCTAGTTGGTCAGGTATTTTTAAAATACTTCAAATAAACTAGTGAGCACATCTTTACTGCATCTAAAGCTGCATCTCTTTACTGAAACCCTTTAATTGGCACCCCATCAATTCTTAGAGATGGTTGTAGGGAAGTTAACATAAGGGGGGAGAATAAATGTTCCCAACTCAGATCACATAATTTTTATTCAAAGAAATTGTAAAAGCACTCACAAATGTTATATGGAAAAGAGAAAGATTCTGGATAAGCCAAGTACTACTGAAGAAGGAAAACAAACTTCTTGCTTGCACAATGTACTACACAGCCACAGTAATCCAAACTGCCTAGTACTGGTACAGGGATAGATATACAGGACAAAAGAACAAAACGAGGAAATAAAATAATCTCCTGAGCTTTGACAAAGAGATGAAATCCATTAAATGAAGAAAAGACAGCCTCTTTAACAAAAGTTGCTGGCAAAACAGGTCTATCTGTATTTGCAGAAAATTGAAACAGAAGCCATTATCTCACACCATATACAAAAACTAATTCAAGGTGGATCACCAAAGAAAAAACTGAGACAAATTTAGGAGATCAAGTCTATGACATAGACTTCTAAATATAATAGAAAATTCACTGTATCACCAGAGAATAAACTAGACAATAGGGATCTTCTAGAAATGAAATCTTTATGTGCATCAAGAATAAAAACCTAGAAACTGCAAAAAAAAAAAAAATCTAGGAATGACAAATCTAACAAGGACTTTTTGCTAAAATGTATAGAAAATTTCACTGTCTCAACCAGAAAAAGAAAAAACTCAATTACAAAATTGGCAAAGGACATGCACAGACAATATCAAAGAAGATATTCAGATGGCCAAATACCCACAGAAATGCTCAAGGTTATCAGCTATAGGCTTGATAATCAGATGCAAAGCAAAATAACAATGAGATACCATCTCACCCCAACAGTAAAAGCTTAATAGCTACGATAATTAGATGCAAATAAGAATTAAAACAAAATACCATCTCATCCTAGCAACAATGGTGGTGGTGGTGGTTGTTATTATTGAGCGCCTTGGAGTCACTGACTCATAGCAACCCTATGAATGAAAGATCTGAACACTTGTATAACTTTCATCCTTTCTCCAAGTTCATAGAGTTTCCAGAGGCAAGCCATTTCAGAAGTAAATGCCACTCCTGCTTCCAAGTTTGTTTTAATTAATCAGGGAGCTCCACCAAACACTGTCCGCCATAGGTAACCATTATTTCTTTTGACTTATCAGTGTCATAGTGCTTAGCATCACAGCAACCATGATGTATGTACTGCTGTACAGCAAATGCAGAGACCAGTGCTATACCACTAAAAAGAATATTTAAGGGAGTTGTGGTGGCCTAATGGCAAGAAGCTGCACTGCAATCCCAGAGATATGCGGCTCGAATCCACTAGATGCTCTCCCGGAGAAGGAGGGGCAATCTCCTCCTGTACCAGTCAGATTCAATTTGATGGTACAGACACACACAAAATAATAAAATAAAAATTTTTTAAAAAAGAATGTTTGACCAAAAGCAATTAAAACCAGGCCTGAGGGCTGCAGATTAAAATCATCCACCTTAAACAACAATAAACAACAAATTCAAGAAAATGAAGAGACTAGAGTTCACAAACACTGTTGGTGCAAATGTAAAATAATGCAACCACTATGGAAAGAAGTTTGATGCTTCCTCAAAAATGGCAAAGAGACTTACCATTAGATCTAGCAAATTCACTATTAGGTATATAATCCTAAAGAAATAAGATGGAACACAAAGAGATATATGCATGCCTATTTTCACTGCAGCATTATTTACAACAGCAAACAGATGAAAACTCTGTTGTTGTTGTTGTTGTTGTTATGTGCCGTCGAGTCGTTTCCGACTCATAGCGACCCTATGCACAACAGCCCTAAACCCTGCTCTATCCTGCGCCAACCGCACCACCTCTGACACACCCATCCCAATTACCCCAGTCACTGAATCAATCCATCTCATAGAGGGTCTTCCCCTCCTGCACTGTCCCTCCACCCTCCCAAGCATGATGTCCCTCTCCAAGGACCCATCCCTCCTGGCAACATGTCCAAAGTATGTCAGACGAAGCCCCAGAATCCTTGCCTCCAAGGAGTAGCTTGGTTTAATCCTCTCTAAGATGAATCTGTTTGTTTTCCTGGCAGTCCATGGTACATTCAGTACCCTTCTCCAGCACCACAGCTCAAAAGTATCCACTCTCCTTCTGTCCTCCCTAGTCATTATCCAACTCTCTGATGCATAACAAGCGATTGCAAAGACCATGGCCTGTATCAGGCGCACCTTAGTCTCCATAGAGACACTGTTGCTCCTGAGTACCTTTGAGAGGTCCCTAACAGCAGACTTTCCCATCGCGATACGCTTTTTGATTTCCTGACTGCTGGTACCAAGAGTGTTGACTGTGGAGCCGAGCAAACTGAAGCTGTGAACACTCTCAATCTCTTCTCATCTGTTTCTTCTTCTTTGGCTCTGGTTGTTGGTGCATATATCTGAATGATAGTGGTATTCACTGGGCTTCCTTTTAAGCGTATGGATATAATCCTGTCACTCACGATGTTGTACTTCAAGATGGATCTAGTAATTACTTTTTTTACTATAAAGGAACCCCATTTTTCCTTGTCTTTTCATCTCCGGAGTAATATATCATATGGTCATCAGACTCAAAATGCCCCATGCTCTAGGGTCGATAAAACACAACTCTTAATTTTTTTCTTAATTTTTCTTTTTAGACAAAGATACAGGCAATATCCCAATCAAGGAAAAAAGTTCCAATAATATGCATCTTAGAATATATTAGATAAAAAGATCATGTTTGTACAATAAAGTTGTATGCAACACTGAAAAAAAGGAATTTTATATACACTGTATAACATGGATGCATCTAGAGGACATTATGTTTAATCAAGTCAGTCAGCCACAATAAGACTAATATAGTATTACAAAATCCTAATAAAAGGTTTATACACAAAGAGATTCATTATTGGATGGTTACCAGGGATAGGATGGGAAGAAGACAGGAAAACATATTAGTAAAAAAATAATTGAACATATATTAAAATAAGTGAAAGGATAGGCAATATAACAAAGGAGGAAGATCCAAACAGTATCATTAAGTAAAGACAAGACAAAGAGAAGTACAAAAAGATTAATGGAAATCAACAAATGTGATTACATTGTGGATATTGAAATAATGTCAATGATAAGAAAGTATAAGAGAGTGTGTGAGTGAGAGTGTGTGTGTGTGTTAATAAAAAAGGAGCTCTGATGTCTTTAGTAGGTAATGCTTTGTGCTGTCAACCCAAAGGCAAGTGACCCACATTCACCAGCTGCTCCACCAGACAAATGGGCAATCTCCTATTTAATTTACAATCTCTTGAAAATCTGCGGGAGGGTCAGCTATGAGTTGGTTTCAATTAAACGGCATACATCAACAACAACATATGTGTTTATTTATATATGCAACTGTATGCATGTGTTTGTGCATATGCCCATGTCTGTGCATACAGTAAACACAATATATAATTCAAAGAACTCAAAGCCATTCTATAAACCTCAAGTTAACAACTTTTAGGCTAATAAGAATTGTCTCCTCATTCTTAAATAATTCTAAAGCCTCACAGCAAAGCAATGAGAAAATTTTCTATTAGTTATTACTGATAGGAGGATGGGAGGGTTGTTAATCACAGAGTCACACAATTTAATGGGTGGGTGGGGTGAAAGAAATGGGAAAGATCTAGTGTGAAAAACAATGTATTGGAACTCTGTAAATAAACCAGTATAAAATCACAACAAAAAAATAATAATACATTATGAAACTTTGTACAAAGGAAAAAAACAGTTAATATTAAAAAGCCTGTATCAATAATAGAGTTTTTTTTAAAAGAACATGAGTCTCACAGTAAGATCTAAAATGAAAAATCATAGTTTTTTAGTCTAATAGTTAAAATGTAATAAATTTTAGTAATTCGATCATGATTACTCTAACTTCAATTTTTGTGTTACTGATAAATGTAAAATGATTATACTTACTGGAAAAACTAAAAAAGGGCAAAGTTTCTGAAAGTTTCTGTTTACCTATAAAGTCAGTGACAAGATGAGGATAACTCCTTTTATAATAATAGCAAGAGAGACAAGTTTAAATAGTTAAATGATTCAGTATAGATCAATATTTTTGATGAAAATTAAAACTTTGCTCACTAGTTCAAGAATGATAAGTAAACTCTGCATTTTACTCTACCAGGAAAACTGAACATATTCTATTTATATTTGATTTAGTTATCACTTCAAACATACACATAGTTGTCCTCAAAAATTATTCTGCAAAGCCAAAGTGTCAATTGTACAAGGAGTTGGTGAAAAATAGTATTTTGCAACTGTAAAATACATCCAGAAATTGGCGCCAGGGAACAAAACTGGATGGCTTAACTCATATCCTGGATCTTAAACACGAGCTATAAATATGCACTTTCACAGGAACATACTACCACTGAAGCTGAACATTTTAGACATATGGATTTGAATGATAAAATATTAGTCACTTCTAATAAGAAGTTTCCATACACTTGTCAAGAAGATTGTGCTCTTACCTATACTTTGGAAAACTTCATTCATCAAAGCTTCATTCACGGCTGAAGAGCTGACATTTCCAATATGTGCCCAACTTTGATATATTGCTTGCAGCAGAAGAGTCTGTGCTCTTGTAGCTTGAACTGTGAGATTTGGAAGCTCAAATATACCTTCAGTGAAAGGAATGTGAGATCGTTTGCTCCTGTAACAACATAAGAAAAAGAACTGATAAACAAAAATGTATACTACGTTTATTAAATAGCAATGAAGAGAAAGACATCCTTCCAATATGTTTTACCACAATATTAAACAGACATGCAATTTAGCTAATTTTAAATAATTTTTGCTATTTAGAAACAATCACAGCAGTGATAAAATACACAATAATACACTATGTCCATACACATTCATACGCATTCATTCTGTTCAACTAATTAAAATTTTTCCATCAACTCAACAACAAAAAAAAATAAATAATCCCAACACTTGGAGAGTTTATTAGCTAATGTGCATTGTTCCAAATGTCTTGTATTAACTCACTGAATCCTGTCATAATAATATAGTCAAAGATATTATCATTAATTATCCTCATTTTTTTCAGATGAGGAAGCAAGGACAATAAGAGATTAACTATATTACTGAATGTTTCACCACTCAAACTCAGTTCATTGGCACTGCAGCAGAACCAACTCAGAGCTAACCCGAGGCAGGTTTTCAGAGAATGTAAATCATATGGGAGGAAACTGCCCATCATTCTCCCATAGAGCAGCAGTGGGATTCAAACAGCATGCCTTTAGTTTGGCAGCACAACTACTTACTTACAGACTACCAGAGCTTCCTTGTTATACAAGTAAGTAGAAAAAATACTATTTTAATCCAGGCAATCAGAATCAGAGACCCCACTGTGGATTTCCTCTTAGAAGGATATATGAACTATTTACAGGATACTCTCTATTCAACAGAGCCATGGGAAAAAAAACCATTCCATCCTGGAATATGATGCTTCATTCTGTCTTTGGACAAGGAACTACATACACATAATTACATTACCAAGTGGTAAGAAGTTGCGCTAAAAACTCAAACACAATTAGAATCCAACAGGTGCTGCAAGGAGAGATAGGGGAAATCTGTGAAAATCACAGCCTCTGAAAACTCACTGGAGGTTTAGGCTATGGGTCCAAACAGACAGCACATAACAAGCAAGAAAGTTTCAAAGTAAGGAAGTATTTAAACAATGTCTGCAATCACAATTAATGATTGATTACTAATTCTTAAAAATGAAAGAATGAGAAACTAAAGATAGGAAAAAAGAAATTTTTTAAATTTTTTTTTTTTAGAAAAAGACACTATGCTAAGCATTGAATAGGGAGCTCTAGTGGCTTAGTGGTAAGGAACTGCACTGCCAAATTCAAAGGCCCTCAGTCCAAATCTACCAGCCGCTCCGTGGGTAAAATGGGCAATCTCCTCCCACATCATTTACTGCCTCTGAAAACTCAAAGGGCCAGCTATGGGTCAGTTCTGACTCCACAGTCACAGCAACATGAATTGAATCCTGGCACGTATGTGTGGGAATCCTAAAGTCTATAACCAGTGGGAGCAAACAACTGTAATGTGATCGTCATCCATAATGCAATCTAATACAATGTACATAATCAATGAGTCGAGTTCAATGATCAGATGAGCTCATAATAGTATATGATGGGTTCTAATCAAAACACTTCTGAGTTTAAAAAAAGTAGAACATATACTGAAACTAGTTGTAAAAACACAAAGAAAGGCAGATGTTAAGTGAGGATCATCAAGGAACAAAGGAAATACGCAGCTACTGACAATGAAAGAATAGACATAAATAATATGATTACTAGGAATTTCAGTCTCCAAAATTGTGAAAAAATAAATTTCTGTTCATTATTGCCACCTATTTGTGATATTTCTGTTACAGCAACATGAAGAAACTACCAATTGGTTGGGATACTACCAGAGTAGCTTCAATCCCTCCCTTTCCCTCAAGCAGACACTCCACTACCCTTTAGCATGTTCTGTACCTTATACACACATACAGTAATGAACATGCTTTGCTTTCTCTCTTGCCATTTTCCCTTTCCCTCCTTCATGCATTCTGCTTTTGTTTTTGAGGAAAAGTTTATAAATTGTATTGGCCTTTCATTCAATCATTTATATATCTTTTGTTTTATAACATTGTCTTTACAACTTCATTGCCTCATTCATATGTATTTTTATTAATTACAATCTCTCCTATCTCATTACTGCTAAGTCAGAATATATTCATATATGACCCTTCAATGGGTATTTGCAGGCTGTAAATTTATGGGAGAATATTATCCAACTCTCCCCTGCAGTCACTGGTAAATTCAAACTATAGAGGAATGCCCCTTTGGGGTTGGCAGTTTAACTCCCTATTTGTGATCGATATATACTGTATACTGTCTTTCCTTTAAATTACCTATTTATTAATTTTTAATCCCCCCTCCTTTTCCTATCTCTGATAACTACTAAAAATCGACTCTGTAAATCTTCCCCTAAATTTTTATGAATGTGGACACCTATTCCTCCCTCCCCCACCCCTCTCATATGGAGCTGATAATGGATTCAAATGTCAGAGAGGTTCAACCTTTGGGGTAAGCAGCACACCACCATCCTGTGGACTACATAACCAACACTCTTCTCAGCCCCACCTACTACTGCAACCACTGCCACAGAGGAAAATCTCAGACAACTTTTACTTTTACCAAAGGCTACTAGGAGTCTGAGAAACCAAGAACTATTCTAAACTCATGAACAAAGAGCCCAGAAATATATAAATATCAAAGGTCAGGGAATGAAATAACACCAAAATAATTGGACAAAAGCTTAATGATGAGTGGTGGAACAAAATCAAGCAAAATTATATACTAAAACTGGAGTTTCAGAGATAGAAATTAAACTGCAAGAGCGAACATAATATTTCTTGAAATAATGGTCAGATTTTTATTACGTGAAAACAACTCAAACATCTAAAGAGTTTAACAAATCCCAAGTTAGGGTCATAGGGTCATAGTATATGCAACATATCTTTACTCAAATACCACCTGCCTTCTAAACTTTGCAAATGTATCCCTTCTCCTAGCATGTATTATTATGTGTCATCAAGCTGACAACAACTCAGAATGACCCTATGAACAACAGATCTAAACTTTTCTCTATTCAATGTCATACACACCCTTTCTGATACACTGGAGCCTACTGTTACAGACACTGTGTGAATTCCATCTTGTTAAAGGATCTTCCTCTCTCTTTCTAACACTCTACCTTTTCCAGGATTATACCTTTTTCAAAGGTCTGGCCCTTGGAAATGCTCATGTTTTTTCTTTTCAGTTGTCTTTTTTTTCCCTTTTTTTATTAATTTTAATAGAGATTTACAGAGGTTATGGATTTCCATTCATTCATTGCCGCAATTTTCTCCCTGCCC